GCCCCGCCCGCCGGCGCGCGGCTCCCGGGTTGGGGCAGCCTTGCCGCCCCGTGCTGGCACGGTCCTGATCCTGGCCGTGGGGGGTATCCTGGCCGTGGGGAGCGAGGAAATGGATCCCCTGCGCTGGCCGCAGCCTCCCGCGGCCAATAAAAGGAGACAGTTGAGGAAAAGCAAAGCGGTTTAATTTGTGGACGGATGCGGAGGGCAGCAGACTCGTGGCTGAAGGACCCCCCCTTTGTCAGGGTTATTTATGCAGAGGGGAGAAATAGAGGGAGGTGGGCCAGGGTGGGGGAGGGGCGTAGGAGGCGAGAGACGTGGGCGGGCGCCTGCTCGCTCTTTCAGCAGCTGCAGTTTAGCTCCCCCTTCTGGGAATGCAAGGGACAAACCTGCTAACGGGGGCAAGAAATGGGGGAGACAGACTTGGAGGGCTCACCTGAGGTCAGCCATTTGCGACTGCTCCGTGAAAGCAACCGCCTGTCTTGTCCCAACTTCTGTGAGGGCGGCAAGGAAGACAGACGGGAGGCAGGAAGGCTGAGCAAGCAGAGTTTATTGCTCCTTAGGGTGGGGTCCGCAGCTACTGCCGGCTCTAGAAGGGGGGTCTCCTATATAGGTCCTAAGCTCAGTTTTCAAAGAGGTGACTCATGGCTGTGTGCTTGATGTAAGGCCCAGTTCCTTATCACGTTCAGCTAGTCCCATCCCGATGCAAGGTCAGTTTATTACCACCTTATCAAGCTCAACTCATTAGCGCCCCAATTCTGCCCTTGTCAATAAATCTAGTGACTCCCAACATTCCCCACTTTTTCTTTAGTTATTAGGAAAAGGGACGTGGCTTCTCCAGGGGTGTCACAGGAGCTGATTTACTGTGACCTTCTCCTCCCGGGGGGTGTAGTGGGGTGTTTTATCTGTGCCTGGAAACATGAGGAGGACCTTAGGGGTCCTTGAGCCTGTGGTAAAGAATGTTTCCCTGGCTGCTTGGTCTGCCATATCATTTCCCTGTGCCCATCGGGCATGTCCGTGACCATGGCCAGGGGTGTGAATAATTGCAACTGATTGTGGCAATTGCAGGGCCTTTAGCTGGTGAAGAAGTGGGGCATTAATAATTGGGGTAACTTTAGTGGCCAGGAAACCCCGATTCTCCCAGATTTGACCATGGTGGTGGGTAATGGAATAGGCGTATTTTGAATCTGTGATGGTGTAGGCCCATTTGCCCTCAGACAGCTGAAAAGCCCTTGTTAAGGCAATTAATTCAGCCTGCTGATTTGCGTTCCTCCCGCCCGGGCCTTGCCTCTATGACCTTGTCTATTGTGGTGACAGCATATGCGGTTGAGGCAGGTCCCTGCAGACTGAGCCATGTGTGTACAGGCACCTTGCGTCCTCCAGAGGAGAGAACCTGAGGTCAGGCCTGGTTGCTGGGCCCTCTCATCTCCTGAGTACAGGAATGTAAGGGGCCTCCCGCAGTTCAGCCATTGTTTCTAAAGCTTTCAAGGAGGGCCGAGGGGGAAGACGGGGAAGACGTCTGCCACCCCCAGGGGTCGCCTGAGAGTTTTCTATAAGTAGGGCATGTTTGGGGCACTGAGTTTTCCCATGTCCCAGTTGGCCACACCGAGGACAGGGCCCCGGGGGAGGGCGGTTAAGTCGGTGGGTGGGGGCAACAATTAGCCCAGTGGCTGGTATCACCACATCTGAAGCACGCCCCTCTGTGGAATTTTCTTTGGCTCTGACCGCAGCCATCACTAGAGTGACCTGCTGCTGAGCCCTTGACAGGTCCCGGGTATTGAAAGCCTTATACGCTGTGTCTAGTAACTCCTTGATGGGGGTTTAAGGTCCCATTTCTGCCTTCATAATTTTTCTCCTGATGTCTAGGTGAGGTTGTATGATAAAGGGGATGCTAATATGGCTTGGCCCTCCGGTTGTTTGGGATCAAGGCGGGTGTATTTTTGTAGGCAGTGGGTAAGGCGACCTAGGAAGGCCGCTGGGTTTTCATCAGCTCCCTGAGAAATTTCCTTGAGTTTGTCATAATTCACAGTTTTTTGAGTCGTGGTGGTAAGGCCTGCTATTAGACAGGCGACATATATGTTTCTCCTAAGTCTACCTGGACTATCTCTTCGGTACCCCCAGTTGGGGTCCTGATCTGGGACAGCCTCACCCCCTGTCGGATGATCCAGATTAAGGGCATTTTGGCGATCTGCGTGTTCTTTGGCTGCCTCAAAAACCCACACTCTGACTTCTGAAGGGAGGGTGGCTCTTAGGATGACACTGATGTCCTGCCACGTCAGATCAAAGGATTGATGATGGAAGGTGAACTCTGTGTGTATTGTATGGGGTCATCTAGGAAAGAGCCGAGCCGTTTTTCAATGTTTGAGAGATCTGAAAGTGGAAAAGGCAAATAGACCCTGACCGTGCCTTCCGGTCCTGGGGATCCCCAGGGAGGGCCATCCTTCCCACATGGGGTGTCAGGCCGTTCACCACTGTCCTCTGTGTTGTTATTGTCTCCTGTAACAGGGGAGTTTTGGGCCCTTCTTGTCGGAGTAGGATATGATGGGGTTAAATCAGGTACAGGAGCAGAAGGGAAAGGATAGTCTCCTTCCCATCCATAGGGAAGGGAGGGATTGGTGTTGGATGCTGGGGGCAGGGGTGACTGGAGTGCCTGCTTTTGCCGCTAGTATAGAGGAGGGACTGCAAAGCTGAAGAAGTGAAGGATGGGAACGGATATAAAAGAAAGCCTGAAGATAAGGGGTCTCAGAGTGTCTGCCCGTGTGATATAACAACCTTTCTAGATTTTTAAGAACTGAGTAATCAAGTGTTCCTCCTTCTGGCCACCAGTGATCACTATCTAACTTGTACCGGGGCCATATCACATAGCAGAACCGAGCAAGTTTTTTTTCTTGAGGCCATCTCGCTTAAGGCTGAAGTATCCCCATGACGGAGGATGCATTGGAGGGGGGGTAAGTCACCTGCCTTGGCTGAAGAGTTACCCACTAGGTGTGGAGGGAGAGAAAAGAGAAGAGAGAGAGGGAAAACAGCTTAAGAGCCAAGGAGAACAAATACAAATACATCAAAATATGCCCTGGGAGGGACAAATTCCACAAGCTGTGCTCTGGAGGGACAAATACAAACGCCCTGGGAGGGGCCAAAAAATGCCCTGGGAGGGACAAGTGCACCCTAGGACTGGCCACACTGAGAGAAAGGAGGGGAAAAGGAGGGGGAGTCAAGGGTATTTTTGAGCCAGAGTTGGGGTGACTTACCCTAGCCTCGTTCCTCCAATGTAATCACGTGGTATTTGGGCACCACAGAGGTGATGCCAAGAGGAGCAAAATGCCAAGATCAACACAAAGATTGTGGCAAAGAGGGAGGCCGGGAGGCCCTGGGGATCAGGGTGCGGTCACACTGGCTGTTGCCGCCGACTCCTCGCGGAGCCCAAAGTCCCTGGGCACAGCGCGTGTATGAGCCCCGCGCCGGCCGGCCAAGCCTAGAGCTACTGGCCAGGTCTCACCAAGCCTGACGGGTCTCCGGACAAGGACGCTGGGACAAGGACGCGGGCCCAACCAAGCCCGAGCGGGGACCGGTGTAAGAGCTGTTCACTCACGCACACTCCAGAGAGAAGGAGGGAGGAGCAAAGGAGCACACCAGGCCACAGAAGAGGCAGAGGCCGGCTCCACTCAGCACCAATCTGTTTTGTCCCAGCTTCTGTGACTGGCAGCAAGAAGACGGAGGCAGAAAGGCTGAGCAGGCGGCAGCTGAGAGGAGCCCCTAGGTGGGGCCAACTCTAGCGGGGGTCTCCTACATGGGTCCCAAGCTCAGATTTCAAAGGGGCGACTCCTTGATGTGAGGCCCAGTTCCTTATCACCTTCAGTTAGTCCCGTCCCGGATGCAAAGTCAGTTTATTACCACCTTATCAAGCTTGGATGCCACTAGCCCCCGCCGCGCCCAGGGCTGGCTAATAAAAAAGAACAGGGCTCTGGAAAGTGGCAGGCATCCCGACAGCGAATCTGAGGCCCTTTGAGAGGTTCACGGACTCCCCGTTGGTAACCCTGAAGCCTTCTTCAGTTTACCTCAGCACCCAGCTCTCCCTCCCTGACGGATCGCTGTCGGGAACCCCCTGGCCCTGGCAGTCCACCCTGTGGGTC